GCCTGGGAGTTCAATGCTACACTGAGCCGTGTCACCACCACTGCATTCCAGCCTGGGTGACAGAGTGAGACCCTGTCTAAAAAATAGAGCTCCTTAAAACAGTAACCTCCCGGACTAATGAGAAAGCCATTAATGCACTGCATTGTGCCCGGGTCTGTGACTCTTTATATAACAAGGTTCTGTGCCTCAGTGTCCTTAAAAAGACTGATTCCCGCCGGGCGCGGTGGCTCAAGGCCTGTAATCCCAGCACTTTGGGAAGCCGAGACGGGCGGATCACGAGGTCAGGAGATCGAGGACCATCCTGGCTAACACAGTGAAACCCCGTCTCTACTAAAAAATACAAAAAACTAGCCGGGCGAGTGTGCAGGCGTCTGTAGTCTCAGCTACTTGGAGGCTGATGGCAGGAGAATGGCGTAAACCCAGGAGGCGGAGCTTGCAGTGAGCTTGAGATCTGGCCACTGCTCTCAGCCCTGGGCACAGAGCGAGACTTCATCTCCAAAAAAAAAAAAAAAAAGACTGATTCCATTATTTTCTCTGTCCCTGGGTCCAATCAGATCCAAATAACTGAGATTTGGGATGTGTCCACCTTCACACCTAAGATGGTGTCGCCTCTGCATAGGATTTCACCTGAGATGACACAATCCGCAGAAGAGTCCACATGAGACGGATTGCCTGGAACCCCTCACCATTATCTGGAATCCTACTTGGACTTTAGCTCAAAGAGACCCTGCCTCACAAGCTCCCTGTGCACGCCCCCTTCCCTCACAGGATCTTTGCCTGTTGGACTTGCCCTCCCGATGACCCTCAGGGACAACTGCAGCCGTTAGAGCGCATACAGGGCTTTTCCCCAACCAATCTAGTTGTTTGTCCGATATTGCTTGCAATGGAGAATGGCCACTCACCACATGCCAGCGACAGAAGGACATTCTGAAGTTATTAAACACGTAAACTTCGGGGAGTCAACATGCTATATTTACTCATGTAAGCAAAAACGCCTGCAGCTCGATGGGCAATCCCCTGAACAGGTTAGTGCTACATAGAACCAATGATTTGGCGCTGTCAAAACTATATTGGTAAATAGAAGGGTTCTGCAGTCCAAGGCGGGCGAGACTCAATGAGGTAACGTTGAGCAATCGACGTCGGCATTCGCCAGTGGCGTCCAGCCTGTTATTATCCCAGAATTTATGGGGTGAAAACCCGCGGTCTTGACTAGACTAGCATAGAGAAATAGCTTGGAAAACATCACACTTGTAGAATTCTGTCGGGTCGAAGGTTCGAGGATGCGCGGCGGCTGCCCTGTGTGTAGGGTCCAACCAGCCTTTGAGGACATTGAGGAAAGAACTCGAGGCAAGAATCTTTACTAAACTAATACAAAAATTAGTGACCAGCGACTGGCGAGGGTAGTAGAGACCCTCGGAATATGAGAGGAAGATCATATGCGTGAGTGCCAGCTGAACGAAATCCGGCCATCTTGCTCTTCACTATTAGCTTCCTTCTTTCTGCTACCTAGTTGGTCGCATCGGAGAACAGAAGCTAAGATATCCGTATCTCTAATAAAAATGATATTATGTATATTAGATAATATAAGTATAAATAATTTGTAATCATAAAAATCATAGTGATTGTGGTGCGCAAATATAGTTGTTCTTACTTATCTCTTGTGTTTCTCTCATACATCATATATTTCCTATTCGGCCTGGTGCTCAGAAATTGCTATTGGTGTTGTAAGTTAGAGAAGAGAATACTGTAGCTAGGGATTCGTAAGTCACGCTTTTGCCTGGACTAACTATCTTTGTTTTATTTATTATATTTATTATTATTAGATTTTTATATTATCTATTTTGTTGAGGTCAACTAGAGATGCTCTCATGCTGCATGTTGTCAGACTTACCAGGCTTGTCGATGATGGCCTTACGCTGGTCTGCCTTCGCAGTGATCTTCGAAGCTCTCTAGGGTTGTGTTCGTGGGTTCCCCCATCCCAAATCTCACATTGAATTGTAACTCCCATAATTTCCCACCGTGTTGTTGGAAACCCAGTGGTGGAGGTGATGAATTTATGGGACAGGGTCTTTTCTGCACTGTTCCGCTGATGGTGAATGGGTCTCGCAAGAAACCTGATGTTTTAAAAAATTGGAGTTTCCCCACACAAGCTCATCTCTTTACCTGCTTGCCATCCATGTAAGACATGATTCACTTCTCCTTCTTTCCACCATTGTGAGCCCTTCTGAGCCACGTGAGTGTAATTCCATTAAACCTCTTTCTTTTAAATTGCCTGTCTCGGGTTATGTCTCTATCAGCAGCATGAAAATGGACTCATTAAAGTAAGTTGGTGTCAGTAAGATACCCAAAAATGTGAAGTTTGACTTGGAACTGGGTAATGGGCAGAGGCTGGGACAGTTTGGGAGGGTCAGACAGAAAACAGGAAAATTGTGGAAAGTACATTCTCGCGCCTCAGGCCTCCCAAAGATAGCTGGGCTACAGGCACCCGCCACTTCGCCCGGCTAGGTTTTTTGTTTTTTTAGTTAGAGACGTGGGTTTCACGTCCGGTTAGCCAGGGATGGTCTCGATCTCCTAGTACCTCATTGATCCGGCCGTCTCGACCTCCCAAATGCTGGGCATTTACAGGCTTGAGCCACCGCGGCCCGGCCATACTTGGTTTTAATTTGAATGTCTTTTGCTGGCATGTGGGTTGAGGCGCATCTCCATTGCAAGCAATATCGGACAAACTAGATTGGTTGGGGAATAGCCCCTGTATGCTCTAACGGCTGCAGTTGTCCCTGAGGGTCATCCGGGAGTGGCAAGTGTCACAAGGCAGAGATCCTGTGCAGGGGCAAGGGCGGCGTGCACAGGTGAGCTTGGTGAGGCCCAGGTGTCTCTTTGAGCTAATGTCCAAGTTAGGATCCACTGGATAATGGTGTGAGGGGTTCCCATGCATGCCGTCTCATGTGGGAACTCTTTCTGTGGATGGGGTTGTGTCATCTCAGGTGAAATTCACTATGCAGAGGCGACACCATCTTATGAGTTGTGAAGGTGGACACATTCCACAAATTCTCAGTTATTTGGATCTGATGTGGTAACCCAGGGACAGAGAATAATCAATGGGAATCAGTCTTTTTTTTTTTTTTTTTGGAGATGAAGTCTCGGCTCTGTCGCCCAGGCTGGAGAGCAAGTGGCAGGACTCTCAGCCTCACTTGCCAGCTTCCGCCTCCTGGTTTACGCCATTCTCCTGCCTCAAGCCTCCCAAGTAGCTGAGGACTACAGACGCCCTGCCACCTCGCCCGGCTCTAGTTTT